ATATCGATTCCGAGATAAAAAGGCTTAAGATTTAAGGCGAGTCTTTTGTTGTGGGTGTGAGTTGCCCAAATTAACCTGCGCTCTAAATGTATATCTAGGTATCGGACATTTTGGGCGGTTGGGAGAGGTACATTGTTGAGGTAGATGGGAGGGCAGACTATRGACAATGGATGGATTTTGTTTCATTGATTTTTATACCCTAGTCTTTATACCAGGTAGATAAGAGATTGAGAAGATTTTGTACGAGGTTTGAGGCTGTTTCGGGGTCGGAATGGATCGCTAGAAGTGCCTTATCGTCAGCAAAGTCACCAGTTGTAGTGTTGGGGCCTTAGGGGGGATATAATTATAATATTAATGGTTAAAAACCCTGCAGTAGTTTTCGCACACATGGTATACTTGTGTTATAGAACTAAACGTGTAGCCCACCTTTATACACCTACAATAATAATCGTTTRCATATTTTATATGACGTCGTGTTCTGTTGGACCCGACGTGTGCGTATGTTGTTATAGGACGAAGTGGAAGCGTCAGAACCAATTGCGCCTTGATCAGCTGCGCCAACAGTCGGTTGAGCCGCAGTCGGAAACATCAGCAGCCGCCACCGAGTACGGACAGCACCACAATAAACAACAGCAYCAGCAGCACAGGCTGCACTCGGCGGAACCGCACCACGGCCGACAAGAGCACAGAGTGTACGTACCGTCGTCGGCAGCGTCTACGGACTCTGACATGCAGGCGGCCGCGGAAGTGTCGGCTGCATCAYCATTGACTTCGTCGACAGCCGCAGTGGCTGCGGCCGCGTTCATCGGCGCGCCGTACCCGGGAGTGGCCAACGAAGCGCGGTGGAACTTTCTGACCACGGCTGCGGCCATTGTGCGGAACGTGTCGTACGTGCATGGGTGTCACATGTAAACAACAAATTAATAATAATTATAATATATAGGTAGTTTAATGTTATAATTTATTGCAATATGATTTAGTTCACATATTATTATTTTTCATTCACATAATCGGCACGGATTGTATACAGGGTGGTCGTACGAACGATAATATCATAATATTACATACCTACTATATTACTATASCAAAGTTTTAAATAAATATAAATATATTTGAGCAATAAATCTTCACGCACAATATGTAACGTACTAGTTTCATAAAGCTTTTTGAAATTAGTTATAAATAGTAAGTACTTCATTTAACCTTGAACCGTGGTCTTCTAATTTTTTTGATGGGGATAAGCTAAGTCAATCTTTGTCTTTTGCATGCAATTTTTGACTGCATATTATATTAAGGTATTTGAGTATTGMGGTATTTGAGCTTCCTTTATAAATATAATTTAACTACTTAAAAAGGTCATGGTAGATAATTGAAACGGACTAAGATATTCTTCTTCTTCTTCTTCTTCTTTCGGGTTTGTCGGCCATTAAGACCATCCCGCCGGCCACCACACATACAATTCTCCAGCTTTCCCTATCCAAAGCTCGTACTTTACAATCAGGTCCTCCATTCAGTTCCACCTAACTAAGATATTATAAAATACTACAACAACAGCATTTAAAAAAAGCTATATAGATATGTAATTTATGATTTTATAACCTCCCTATTTGAAAMTACCATTTAAGGGAGTCGAGTATATGCACCGACTTCCTGCCTGTTTTGKATACTCGCTTCACCCAGGAATAAAATTTAAATATCACAAACATAAATCATTATATTTAGTATAAATAGTATAATGATAATTACCTTATAGATAAAATTCGAATTTCCCTTTGTTTCGATTTGGTGTGGACTGTATTTAAATGATACTAAAACAATATACGCACTTTTAAATTAGTTAATATTTCATTTATTTTACAAGTTTTGAGTCGCTCACGTTAGCGACGCATAATAGGTACGTTGTGACAGAAATATTGCGACTAACTGGTGAACGATAAGATATTATCATTGGAACATATAAAACACAAACCAGACGACATAAAATACTGACAATATTAGCGATTAAACTATTAAAGCCTTAATAACACCCTTTATCCAATCTATCGTAATCTAAATTACCTATCTATTGATCGTGAAGAAGTATTACTATTTAAATGTATTTGCCACAAGATTAAGAATTAGGATAATTACTAGTTTTGTTGGCATAAATCTATAAACCCCCTCCCCTGATGTAATGGTAATTGGAGAAGAAGAAATATTATGGTAACAATTTTGATTGAATTACACTGCCTAATCATGTTTATGTTTGGTATATTATTACTATACAGARTACTCAGTTAATTGTTAAAATCATTTTAAAATGTTAGGCAAATAGAATTATGATTTCCATTAAATTTGTTAATTTACAAACTTCATCTGTATATTTGATTTCTAGTATTTTTGGTTCACCCATGTAAAAAGTCATGCATATTAGTAATCAGATTTTTATTTAGCATAAAATAAGACTTGCCTGCCACAGAAAATAATAATACCTAAAATTTGTTGGAAAACATTATATTTTAATTTGAATCAATTAATTAATTAATTACCATTGTCATTTGTCCTGTCCATTGAATAGTGAATAGGTAATGTAAATTAATTAAATGTTAACATAAGTCTAGATGTTTAATATTGTAAATATTTTTTTTTGTAAGAATTGTATTTTTTTTTCTATTTACAGTATAGACTACATCTKTTAATGTAGTATGTAATAAGACAAATAAAAGTAGAATAAGCTATTTATAATACAACTAGTTCAAATAAAACCCAAGTCCTAAACTCTATAGCATTAATAATATTCTAATGTTACGTGAAAACAATGCAAGTAATTAAGTTAAATAGATTTTTAACAATCATAAGATGGTGAGTTAGTAATAAATTATTTATCATAATTAGGCCTTTTTTTTAGTATACATTCAAAGGTCTCTTCATTTTTGGATTAAGTTTTGTTATTTAAATATGATTGCCAATTGCTTTGTCATTATTGTCTTTTAGAATATTTGAATTTTTATGATACTCATTTAATAATATTGTTATATTGTATCATTGAATATTTTTTTAATCTTAAGTAATATGATTATGTTTATGACTTACATGTATAAATAAAATGTGTAAAATATACTTAACACATTTTAAATAAAATAGTATACAATAATTAGTAACTCATTTGGTATTATAGGTTTAAGGTACTTATATTGTTTGTATGTCATAAATGTTTATTCAGAATTTTTAATTTATGTGCAATATTTAKTAGAGGAATATTAATTATGTAAAAATATTATATTACTTACACACAGTTTATAATTTATTATCTTCAACTGTTACAATAAATACATTTAATTAATTGTTGATTTTTTAATGAAAGAAGTACAATTGAAATAATAAAACAAATACATTTTTATATTTTTATGTATATATATATATGATATACAAATAAATATATTCAAAAAAATTATCATATATCAAGGATATTTTATCTATTATTATTTAAATATACAGGATAAATAGATACATTAAAGTGAGCAAACAGTAAGTACTAAATATTATGGTTGTTATAAATGGTTTTACACTTCAATATTTTTTCAGAATTCAGTACCAAAATTAAAATTAATATTTTAACTATATTCCAAGTGTTGTCATTTTATAATTTAAATTGGTACAAATATCTATTTTATAGCTTGAACCTGCAAGACATGTTACCTGAAACAATCAACAAAAACACAAGTTTCTATATAAAAGTAGATAATAATGATAAAATGATTAAAATGTGAATAAATTTAGAAATATAAGTACATTTTTAAAATTCAATTAGTACCTATAAGCTATGTCATATTTCATATATTTTTTAACTATACATTGAAATTGAATATTTGTTTATTAAGCATTTATCTTATTAGAATTTTACATTGATTTGAATATGCAGCAGCTTTAACTCTAATAATTTAAAATAAAAAAGAATAAATTATTTATCATTTATTATTAATTAAAGCATAACTTTTCATAATTTCAATACATATGTACATTATACTTATTAACATATTATTATATTAAAATTATAATATTATTATGCATGCAGTAAATGATAACTGACAATAGTTATTCTCATTTTTTCTTCTTCAAAATGTACTAAATAATGATAAATAGATAAAAATATTAACTTGTATGTTGTATGTACTTTTAATAATGAATAAAGTCTTATCAAAACAAACCAAATTTAAAAAGAATATATTATTTAAAAAAACAAAAACTCACTTTGAACGGATTTTCTTGGTTAACACAACTGAAAACAGTGACTGGACTWGTTTCAATTTTACACATAATTTCATCTGTAAATGATAACTGGTAAAAATTTTTTGAGCATCCTCCAGCATATAATGTTTCATCCATAAGTTTAGTAACATGTATTCCAGAATCTTCAACACAGTTGTACACAGTCATGGGAGCAGCCATTGAACGATTCCATAGAGACAGTTTTGTTCCACCACCACATAACTAATGAAAAACAAATTAAGTTAAAATAAAAAAAAAAATAGATTAATATTGATATTTTACCATCCAATCTTTAGTAATTGTAACAGATCCAACCCAATTTCCAAGATTGGGTCGTTTAATTTCTGGATTACTGCTGGGAATGATTTTTGATGAATATCCTTTACAACGAACATCCCAAAACAAAACAGATCCATCTTCACTAGCTGAGACGATTGTATCATCTCTATAATTATATGTTATAAGTATAGCATACATAAAATAAAATAATAATAATAATAATATGATAATCAATCATTACAGCTTATCAATGGAATGAACAAAATCACTGTGCCCTTCAAATTTCTGCACAACATCACCACATTCTAAATTAAATGCATATACAGTATTGTCGCCACAACCTGCATATAAGATATTATCCTCTTTGTTTAATATTAAACAATTTACATCTATACTTAACATTGAATCTCTAAAAGTATATAAAAACAATTAAAATAATCATATGTATTTAATACTTAAATGGTGAAAAGCAAAGCTAACAGCAAATTTATAGTGAACACCATTGATTATAAACACTGGTATTATATACTAAAATAGTTTAAGCGATTCTAAAATTTTTTAGCATAAGCTATTACATAAACAACATTCAAAGGTTACAATCTAAATATTATTTATCTGTCGCCTTTACTTGGGTGATGGAATATTAATACTCCAACTAATACTGAGAGGTTCAACTTTTGAATTTTCGTCAAAATTATTGTCAATAATGGTATCCCAATCCACTCCAATAATAAGTCCGACACCACCAATTATTAAAAATTTTTCGCCAGATTCCATGCTGTTTATTTGCATTTTACGTATCATTTCAAATTYATAAGATCGACCACCAGCTGATAAATTTTGATCTTTRAAGTCAATACCCGACTGCAATTCATGTTTTAGACTAAAAGTGTAAAATAAAAATATTAATAAACRCCAGTGTTGACATTTAATTGTGTTGTTTAATAATTTAGTAATTAGTATTTTAGCTTACTTGTAGACTGTTAAAATTCCATAGTTATTACCGGCAATCAAATAGTTCCCACAAGGAGAGAACGTTTGGGATAAAATTGTAGTATAATATTTACTGTCAACCATATTTTAAAATTGTAAGACAATTATTTTAATTTATATATTATATGTATTATCATAAAGTGTGCAGAATTTTATTTTTGGTAAAATATTAAATAAACGAATTAAAAGAACATTAAGAACAAAAAGAACGTTATATTTTATATTCTTTTTCTAGAGCTAGTCAGTTGTCACTTGGTATTAATTGTGTACACAACATTAACTGTTAACATTATCAAATCAACGTTATCACCGGTATCCGTCATATCAGTATATTAGCTGGTATRTATCACGATTTAAGATATATCTCATGACTAAATAGATCTATTTAGTCATGATATATCTTAAATCGTGKTACCTATGTATGAAGATCTCTACATCATGGTTAGATCACAGAAACAGAATAGATTTAATCAAGGTGTATTTTATAAATACACCTTGGATTTAATCTATTTTATRGTTAGATCTTAGATACATAGATGTTATAAGATCTTATAATATCTATGGTTAGATGTAACAAATATTAAATTCATTGGATCAATAATGTCAATATGTCATTTGAACAAGAGAACATTATTAGAAATGTTTTTTTGTTATAAGGTGCCTACTTATATATTTTGGAATAAAATATTTCATTGGAATAAATGTACAAAGTACAATCATATTTATATATAAGTACCTATTATTGTATTCAAAACAATTTAATATATTATATATGACATATTATGTATATTTCAATATTTGTGATTTTAATAAAAAATATATAGGAACAGATAGTTTGCCAAAAAAGTTCATTGTAACATTCAAACTTAACAATTAATTGGTATATAAAATGTATGAGTTATGACCACCGGTGAAGACGAGAGCAACACATATGACTATATATGTCTATAGTCTATATGAGATATGACATTGTCTATATATTATAAGACAATTAGACAACAATGGGTAAAAATGCGTTTTTAGATCGAAGACCTCGGAAGCGTCAACAATGATCGGTTATTTGTCACACGAATGCATTTAGCGCTTACCTGAAGAAATTCGAACTGCAGTAGTGTATCGATACGTAACGTGTATCAGAACAATTTTTAACGTTCAAGAAGTTACACTCGCAATATTCAATAGCTATAAGTATATCGATATCGACCAGTATCGGACGATTATTGTTGCGTATATATATATATATATATATATAAATAAACCACAGTGGTTCCCTTTAATAGCATGTTAATGTTTAAAAAACTTACTTAAAAAATAATCAACTATGGTTACATTTATGGCGAAAAAATGAGAATGAAAACGCTGGCAAGCGCATTTTAAGAATAAAAATAAAACTATATATATGTAGTGTCTACTCACTGCCCCTATACATACGCTGAATAACGAAATCTGTATATAATATACGAATTTTTAAACCAAAAAAAATTAATAATAAGTTAATTGATCAGATAGCTGTCTGATACAGGATATAGCGGATCAACGTTTAAAATATGATGTATAGATGTTGTATATTACAACATATCAACTATAGGTAGTTAAATAGAAAAAAAATTGTAAAAGATATGTGATGGGTTTAAAATAAATTTATTTATAATTTAAGTGTAACTGACATATTATGTGTATACTATATATGTATAGAACTATGTATCATATAAATATATAGTATAACTTACTGTATTAGTGATTACTGTTTAACTAACTACAATAATGGTACGATTATATTATATATATTATTATACGCCTATATATAAAATATTACATAATATAATAATTATAGATACGAAGAGGGTAGTGAAGGTAGAGAATTTGGAAACTGTATAAAAATGAAAGTAATATAAACACTTTCTTTATTTATTTATTGATTAATAATTTAAATAGATTTAGAAAAATGTCCGTTGATTGGTGGCTCATCGGCGGCATAGTTGGACATTTCTTGAGGAATCACCGCACTTTCTTCAATACCCGTACAAGGGCGGCACATGCATTCTAGTGGAGCTTTTGTAGTTACCTGCAAAGAAAATAATACTATGAAATTAATTTAAAAATTAATATATAATATTACATTGTTTTTATTCTGGTTACTGTAGTTCTAACAATATACTCATTAATTTCTAAAGCAAAAAGCCACAAACTATATGTTATATATATATATTATATTATAAAAAGGTGTTTTTGTTAAACTCGTACGAAATTTTCAATTGACTTGAGTTTTTTATTGTGTTTGGTGCATAAATAAATACATCAACTTAGTTATTTTATTTTAAGAATATCGCCAATATCGGAACTCAACTGGCTATTATTAGAACAATAATGCAAGTTATTGGTAATTTATATAGAACCTATGTCACTA